CTTCAATTGGATCTATTTATTTTGGCCACTTCTTAATTTGTCTACAATATTTGATAGACTTTGATTCATGATTCTCGTTATCATTTATCATGTTTAGCGCTATATCGTATACAAAGACATTGACTATATTGACTTTATTTTGGTTCCATCATATTCTATTCATGAGATAATTTATCAAGATCTTGTTATTTTCATACATTTCGGGTATCTAGTTGGTTCTTTTGGAACTCACAAATAAATTATGTCAAAGTAATCTTAGAGTTTTCATATCCTCACTTGAGTCATCTTTAATTTATCTCATTTTCTTGTAGAGGAATTTTAATATTGGAACAAGTTCTCCTACCATGCTTCATGGACAGTTTCAACTCATTTGTAGTATTAGATTATCCAACAGAAGTATCTACGTTGATTGGAGTATTGGCAGTTGATAACTAATTTACAAACTTTACAAATGAGAAATATATTGAAATTCTAATTCATATATGTTTATACAGAATCAAGATAACAATTTATTTTAAATCATTCATTTGAACTTCTGATTCTTCGGTTGCTTAATCTCTCCTCCTAATATTGGAAAATTTAATTTCTCAATTAATAATCAGTCTGTTGGGTTGCAATTAAGTATGAAATTGTTTTTCCAAATTATATCTCAAAAATGGGATTCATATCTAATATATTTTTCCAATATTCTTTCAGGACTTGTCTTAGTGTATTATATTGGAGCAATTAGAAAATACACAACACATCCAAAAAATTGACTTTGATGAGAAGTATCAGATTATTAACTTGAAATAAATTACACATTGAGGAGAAACATATAATACTGTGTTGGCTTAATGCGAATAAATATCTTAATAATCATGCTACTCGCTCACTTATATCAAAAGTATCCCCACAAACGGTGGGTTGAAGAGTGTCAACAGTGATATAAGTGTATATGGATGAAAAGAGCTTCCCTTAAGGGGAAGAATTGTGGAAGTATTATGGAAATTGTGGATAGACTCACACTTGAGGGGAAGTGTTAAGTATAACAAGTGTGAGTATTGTGGATAATAGTCCCACATTGGATTCGAATGTATCCCCACAAGCGGTGGGTTGAAGAGTGTCAACGGCGGTACACGTGTATGTGAATGAAAAGAGCTTTCGCTTAAGGGGGAGCATTGTGGAAGTATTGTGGCAATCGTTACATTTAAGGGGGAATGTTAAGTATAACAAGAATGAATAATAGTCCCACATTGGATAGGAATGTGGTAATTTTGTGTCTCTCACAAAGGTGTTGTTCAAGAAAGGAAAGTCTCATACTCCCTAGTAAAAATCTCCCCCAACAAAATATGTCATTAAAACATAGAATATACCCCAAAAATCAAAAATAAAATTATCAAATAGAATAAATTATCATATTAGAGAGAATGAAATCACTATTAAAATTTTAATACTATCAAATAAAATAAATTATTATATAATTGAAATTTTCATTTTTCTCACCTCTCTTTCGAACAAAACGTACAAGCTTTTTAATCACAAATATTTATCAATAAATATTAAATAAAAATGATTGACTCATAAACATTGATCAAATATATTTTAATTAAGTATAGATGCAAATAATGCAAATTTTTATTTTAATTCTTTGGAAAATATATCACAAATAAACAATAATAAAAAATAAATTTTTCAAGTCATTCTTTAAGTATATTTATGATTATTCGTGTTATCCTTATGAGATGCTTCATGAGCATGTTAAAAATATTTATGTCTTCTTCAATTAATGTATCTTATAAATGCATAGTTCTTCAAGAACTCGTGTACAATTAGGGATGACAAGAAAATTCATACCCGCGGATATCCGTAGATAAAATTTGTCACGGATATGAGGGTGTAGTTTAATTAATATCCATGGATAAAATAAATAAATATTTAAATACCTGTTTGTTAATGGATATGGATACATGTTTAATGATATTCGTGCCCGCAGATATCATATTCGTTAATAAATTATAAAATCATTTGAAATATCATTAGTTTATTATACCTTATCTTTTTATCTTTTAAAAATAATTAGTCTTCTTATATCTATTTATTTTTTTTGTTGAAATTTTCATTAAAGAAAACCTTTCCCATTTCATTCAAATTCTATTAGTCATTTCATATTTAAACTCTTTAATACTTCATACCTCATTTACTAGTGTCATTATTTCTCTGTCGAACCAGTGTCTCCCTTTTTACTCCTCTTTCGTCTGCTATTCCATCATAACTCACAATTACAATATCTTTTATTTGTTTGGTTAAAAATAATATATATATATATATATATATATATATATATATATATATATATATATATATATATATATATATATATATATATATATATATATATATATATATATATATATATATATATATATATATATATATATATATATATATATTATGTTTGGTTCTAATTATATTTTGGTGAATAAGAATAAAATTAATGTGATAAAATTTTATTATTAAATTAAGAGCGAATTGTATGAATGTTATGTGATAATAACTTTTTGTGTTTTTAAAAGAAATTAAAAATATGTTTTTTCAAAAAATAATTTTTATAAAAAAAATGTTATCCATAGATATCTGTAAATACCCGTGGATATTTTAAAACTCACATATTACCTGTTTAACGGATATCCGCATAGATATGGGGCAAATATGAATATCATAGTATCCGTCCTCATGGATATCCATTTACATCCTTATGCATAATATAAACGAGTAGTTCTTCATGAAATCAATCACAAATGTATTATTAAAAAATAAATTTGATTTTTCCAAAATTTATGTCATAAATTATTACATATGTAAAAAAATAATTCTTTCATGCAATTTTTTTGGTATATTTTTGCATTATTAATTTAATCCTTCAATGGAGACGAAACATATTATTAATAACAATATAAAATTTTAAGTTCTTCGAGAACTATAAATAATTTCTATCCATCAAAATTAAAATATCATGATTTGCGTAGTCATTCGTATGCAATTCTTTAAGAATATTAAATACTATTTTTGTTATAATCTTTAAGAACTATACCATACATGCTATTTATAATTCATGATAAAAAAATTATCCTTTGTACAAGCCTTCAGGGATGTTTTATTGGCTCTTTAGAAACTGTATAACAAAATATTATTTTACTATCTTTTAAGGATGTTTGATAAGTTCTTTAGGAATTATATGACAAACTCATTATTATCCTTTAAAATATTTGATAAGTTTTTCAGAAACTATATAATAAACTATAGATACCCTTCAAGGATACTTGATAAATTCTTCAAAAACTATATAATAAACTATTATTTAGCTATTCTCGAGCTTCATACATTCTCTAGAAACTAACAAACTCATTTGTTTCTTCCGCGATTATTGATAATTTAATAAAATATAATATCAAAATTTAACACAAAATAAAATAAAATAATGAACTAATATTATCTCATATAGTTATGACTTCAATTAGAGTTTTGATAACTATTATTAAATTAATAAGAAATAATATAACATAAGAATCAAACGAGAGAAAGAGAGTTTATTATATTATTTTTCTTCTAAGTCAATGATTTAAATATAATAAATCTTATTTATAGAACATATGTAATAAATAAAAAATTAATATGAAATTTCTGAATTAATTGACATTCATAATCATGATAATCATACCATTTATAACAATATTTTATATAAACTAAGTTCTACTAGTTGATACTCGTATCAATATTTTAATTATCAATATTTTAATTATCAACAATGTTATTCCTTCGTTAGCATCATACATTACATACGTAGTCACTATTTACAAATATGATGGACATTGACATATACATTTAACAACGATATGAACACTGACATGAACAATGACCATTAACAATGACCGTTAACAGTGACATACACATGAACACTGACTGTGAACAATGCTTCATAAAAAGTGATTTGTAGTATTAAAACAAAATTAGTTAATGAAATGATAAAGTTGATTAATAAATATACACATATTAAAAATAATTTTTAGTAATAAAATAAAGTTAACTAATAAAATATAAAAAGTTAGTTAATAAAATTATGAAATTGATTAATGAATATGACGTTATTAAAAATGATTTTTAATAATAAAACAAGATTAATAAAATAGAAAAAATTGTTTAATAAAATTATAAAATTAGTTAATAAACACTTAAATATTAAAAATACTTTTTAATAATAATAATAAAATATAAAATATTAATTAATAAAATTATAAAATTAATTAAAGCACACAATTTTATATCAGTATTTTTTAATTTAAAAAATAACTTCTATAAATTTTTTTAAAAAAATATTTTATTATTCCCATATTACTGAATAATGAAACACGCTATAATGTAAATTGAATATTATTTTTCTTGAATTATATATCTCTTTAGATAAAAACTTCAAAATTTCAGATTTATTTTTATAAGGAAATTTGATAGAAACTAAACCATAATAAGTTTTGTTTTATATTATGGCCAATGCAAAGTAAACACGTGTAAATAGCTTTCCCGGGAATCGCATCCCCGAAATGATGATGATTGAACACTTTACCCCTTCCGCCATTTCTATTTTGTATTCTTTCTAACTCAAACCAATACCACGTCGGCACATGCAACTAGCTCTATTAAGAAACGCATCCGCTGAAATGATGAGGTATTACACACGTGGCACACCCTAATTGGACAACCACAATCGAATAAAGGTTCTACGATTAAAGTTACCGAAGCAAACGATTCAATAAAGAAAATTCCAACACAAAGTGAGAGTATATAAACGAATAAAACTCAACATGAATACACAAGAGTGAGGCCAAGAAACCCTTTCTTTCCCAATTTTTGTCTTTTTCTTTCTACACCCCCTTCATTTTCTTCTAAGGGTTTGTAGTAATGTCACTCAAATCAGAAAGATATCAAAAAATTTAAGTTTTATATTTATTTTTCTTTGGTAAAGCATGTTAACAGCTATAGATATATACAATGAAGAACTCATGAAAGCCCTTGAGCCTTTTATGAAAACTGGCTCTTCTTCGTTAGTCTCTGAACAATCACAAATTTTGAATCCCAATTTCGAAACTCAAAGAAGCTCTATAGGTCTCAACCAACTCACCCCTTCACAAATCCTTCAAATCCAAACACAATTCCAAATCTCCCAACAGCAAAAAAGCACTCTCGCACAAAAGCCCGTTCCCATGAAGCACTTTGGAACTCCCTCAAAACCCATGAAACTGTATCGGGGAGTTAGACAGCGTCATTGGGGAAAATGGGTCGCTGAAATAAGACTCCCAAAGAACCGTACTCGTCTCTGGTTAGGTACATTCGATACCGCAGAGGAAGCAGCTTTTGCTTATGATAACGCAGCTTATAAGCTTAGAGGCGAATTCGCACGCCTCAATTTTCCACACATGCGTCACTATGGAAATTATAATCCTCTCACTTCCTCGGTTGATTCTAAGCTCCAAGCTATATGTGAATCCTTAGCGGTTTCTCAAAAACAGGGGAACACCGAAAAGAAGTGTATCTCTGTTGAAGAAGTAAAGCCGGTTGTTTTTATTCCTGCACAGTCTAAGACTGAATTGGTTTTTAACGAGTTTGAGGATTTTAAGGTTGAGAATGAGAACAAGCTGTTGTTGTCTATGTCTGATGAATGTTCCCCTGGTTTGTCTTCTCCAGAATCCGGTGTAACTTTCTTCAATTTTTCAGATTCTTGTCAGTGGGATGAAGTGGAGAATTTTGGGTTGAAGAAGTACCCTTCTGTTGAGATTGATTGGGAAGCATTATGAGTCTGAGAAGTGATTTAGCAAAAATATGTTTTTGGGTTGAATAATGTTTCTGTATTTTGTAATTTAAGGATATGTTCAGGTGTCTTCGACAGCGTCTGCAATGAAGTTTTTGACATTTGCAGGTGTTTTTGTTGAGATAGTTTGGAAATTTTAGGGTTCTAAATTAGAGTCATCTTAATGGTTTTATTATTATGGTCTACTGATGGTTTTCTTGGTCTGCTGGAGTTTTTTTGTTCCTTGCATGATCACAGGAGCTTCAACTTGTGTCTTGGTTACTTTCTTGTTCTCCTAATTTTTAAGCGTTTTCTAAAATGTTGTCTTGTCTAAATATGAATATTAGATTTAAATATACTTTTTTTTTTATCTCTGCAATGATTGTTGTTTTGGTTTTAAATCCTATAAATTTGTTTGTTTGGAGTTCATCAATGCAAAATAAGTGACTTTTGAAGATAACTTTGTTTAGTTAGAAATAAAAAATGGGAGAGTGAGGAACAGAGTGGTTTAAGGAACAACAACTATCTTTAATTTAGATTTTTGCTAAAAATATAGTAAGAGTTCTTTAAGTTATTTTATTATAATGAATTAGTTATTTATGTTTTTTTTTACTATAATTTAGTTATTTATGTTAATTAACGTATTTACGATTGACTTTTTTCAAAAATTTCGTTCCTAAAATACTTATGTAGCACTAACGGAGATGATGTGTCATTTAACAACGATGATATGTCATTTAAACTTGTTGATTTGACATTTGTCTTATATTCTTTCTTATATTTTTAGAGATCGAAGAGATGACAACTCTAAATCCCTAAATCACATACTTTGAAACCTTAAATCTCATCACTCCATCAATGGCCTCATACGACAGCCATGAACCAAATCAAAGATGTCAGAATTTCAATACCTTTATTTCGAGTGCATCTCAAACTAGAATCGAATCGACATGTCTGTGTGGAGGCAAAACAGTGTTAAGAACCAGTTAAGAAGAAAAGAAGAAACTTATTTCATGTAACATTTCTTGACAATAGTTAATTAAACAATTCTGCCTATTTTTTGTTTCAATTCTAAACAAGTTTAGTTACACATGAGTTCTTCAATCGTGCATATGTTGTGTTCAACAATTGTATACCATTATTGCTACAGTTATGTTATAATTTGTACACCAGACAAAATTTAAAGGACTTGGTTGTTACAATTTAAAAATAAATGGGACGTGATTGTTACAAGTTAAAAACAAATGGGACGTGGTTGTTACAAATTAAAAACTTGAATGACTTGTTTGTTATATTTTAAAATATAACTGATATATTGTATTACACTATTTTGGACCTTAAAGTGAATATCAAAAGAATTCTAAAAACACATTCTATTTGGTCTTTCACCTTATGGCCAACTTTTGGTCTCATGATTGTTGGTGGCTGAAATGTTGTTGTACCTGTTAGAACAAGATTTTCGGTTCTGCATATAATCTCTAATTTTGATGATAACAATACATTAAAAAAATTATGTAACAATTATGTACTTTAATGAATTTTTTAAAGTATGCAGTTGTTTAGTGAAAACTGATTCTGAATAACTCTCAAGTATTATAAATCAGAATCTCTTGCATGCCTCAAGAAATCTACTTCGTGCTTTTCTAAAAGAGACATCAGCAGTTTTGATGAATGCTGAATGCCTCTGAAGAAAAAGAAAGATTTGTGCTTCTAAGAAAAAGCTTCGCTTCCAGCTCTGATAAACCGTTCTGAAGACCCTGAAGACAAAGTTCTGTTGAACATGTTCTAAAGATTATGAAGACATCACCTCTAAAGATTTTAAAGATACTAAAGACTCTGATATCACTCAATCTTTTATTCTCTTGTCTTATCAGACAAAGCTGATCAAAAGATGTTGACAAGACAGAAACGTGTGATGAAAGTATCTGCACATGTTGACATCCCTATATTGATATAAGCTAATTTTCAGTCAGCACTCCTGTATGGAATATGATGAGACTTTGCTACTATTATCTCTTACGAGTCCAATGTTATCGTTGCAACAACTGACTTGAATAATTATGATTGTACCTATAAAGGTTCAAACATCCAACTATATAAAGAGATCACTCCTTCTTGCAACACACAATGATTAACACTAATAGAAGAGAAACAGACACAGTCTAAAATCTATTTCTCATACAAAAGAGTTACTGCTCATATTTGTGTAAAAACTTTGTTCTTAATATTGTTTCATTTGCTTTATAGAAGCATTATTGTAAACATCTTTCTATATCTTTTCTGAAGTTATTTTTCCTCAAGTGACTAAGTTTTAGCCTGTAGACTTTAGAGGGCTAAGGTGTTTTTATAAACACTCATACGAACTTGTTGTATTCTTTCAAGATTAGTGAATTAAGTCCTTTTTGAAGGCGAAATCACATTGGCGGGTGGACTGAAGTAACTTTGTTAACAATGAACCAGAATAAAAATACTTGTGTCCTTTTTATCTTCATTATCTTGGTAACTTTTGTGTAAAAGGTCAAAAAAAGTTTACTTTTGTAAAAACCCAATTCAAACCTCCATTTTTTGTGTTCTTCTCCACCTTCAGTTGGTATCAAAGTTCTGGCTCTATTATTGATCTATAAATCAAACACTTAACCGTGTAGAGAGATCCAACGTGAGAAAAACATTATGGTCGCTGCTAACACAAATGAAAGAGATAATTACAATGCTAAGCCTTCTGTTTTTGATGAAAAAAATTTGACTATTGGAAAGATAGACTAGAAAATATCTTTCTAGGCTATGATGCAGATCTTTGGGATCTTATCATAGATGGTTATGGTATTCCTGTTTCTGTGATTGGTATTCGCATTCCTAGAAACATAATGAATGATGATCAAAAGCGCAAATTCAACAATCATCACAAAGCCAAAACCATTCTCCTCAATGCTATATCGTATAATGAATACAAAAAATTACCAATAGAGACACAACAAAAGAAATTTTTGATTCCTTGAAAATGACACATGAAAGAAACACTCAAGTCAAGGAAACCAAAGCTTTGGCCTTGGTTCAAAAATATAAAGCTTTCAAAATGGATGATGATGAAATCGTTGAGACTATGTTCTCAAGATTTCAAACTCTAGTTGCACGACTCAAAGTTCTTGATAAAGGCTATTCTACGGCTGATCATGTCAAAAAGATAGTTAGAAGCCTTCCTAAAAAATGGAGACCCATGGTCACAACTCTTAAGCTATCTAAGGACTGAACTCCATAAGTCAGGAAGAATTGGTCACTTCGCTAAGAAGTCATGAGATAGAATTAAAGGAAGATGAGCCTCATAAAAAAGGAAAACCTGTCGCTTTAAGGTCTAGATCAGAACGGAAAAAGTCAGAAAAGACTAAAGCCTTCCAAGCAGAGGAAGAGGAAATAGAAGATTCAGACGAAGAAAGTTCTGATGATGAAGATGAATTATCCCTTCTCTCTAGAAGAGTCAAACAACTATGGAGAAAAAGGCAAAACAACTTCAGAAGATCCAAAAACAGAAGTGATCATCAGAATTCATCTTCAAGAGGAAAAGCAAGCAAAAAGGTAACATGCTATGAATGCAAGGAGCTAAGACACTATAGAAATATGTGTCCAAAGTTAAAGTAGGAAAGCTCCAGAAAATAAATTTTTAAGAAAGATGCGTTCAATGGTAAGAAGAAAGGTCTCATGGCAACATGGGATGATTATGACTCTGAAGTGTCAGAATCTGATTCTGAAGAAGAGCATGCCAACATAGCACTCACGGAATCTACAGAAGACATAACATAAACTGAGTCTGACTCAGAAGAGGTATTTTCTGAACTCTCTTGTACTGATCTAGAATCTTGTTTATTTAAAAGAGTGAATAGATATCAGAAGCTTCAACAAAAACTCAAGAACTTGAAAAAAGATCATGAAACTGTAGTTGAAGAATCTGTTAAGTTTGAGAAAGAAAGTTTTAAACAAAAAGATGATAATTTTGTTTTCGAAGAAGAAATTATTTTTCTGAACACAAAATGTTTAAAACTTGAAGAAACTCTCTCTAAAGATTATCCATCTTCTGAAACCATCATATACAAATATGATAAAGCATTTCATAAATTTTTGAATGATAACATAGATAGAAGCAGAATGGCTTCAATGATCTATGGTGTCAGTAACAATGGGAAGAGAGGATTTGGTTATGATTATAAAAATGATGATCAAATCCCTCTCAAAGAAGAAAAACCAAAATATTCTTTTTCTTATCATTACACACCTGCACAGACACAAAGATTTAATACCACACGAAAACCTAAAATGATTAGAAACACTGGGAAAACTAATCAAAGAGGACCCAAAAGATTCTGGGTACCAAAAGATAAGATAGTTTATTTGCATATATCCTATGCAGCAGAGTTAAAACACCAATCATGGTACCTAGACTCTGGATGCTTGCGACACATGACGGGAATAAGGCATATGTTCTAAAGCCTGGAACTTAAAGATGTTGGATTTGTTGGTTTTGGAGGAAACTAGAAAGGAAGAATCAAATGATCGTGAATAGTTGGTAACAAATTTCTTGCTTATGTATCTAATGTACTTTTTGTTGAGGGTCTTATGCATAACTTGTTATCCATAAGTCAATTAAGTGATAACGGTTATCACATTATCTTTAATTAACAAACACGAAAATCTGTAAGTCAGAAAGATGGCACAATTCTCTTCACTGAAAAGAGAAAAAGCAACATTTACAAGATTAAGCTTTCTGATCTTAAAAACTAAGAAGTTAAATGCTTATTGTTTGTTAACGAATAGAAATAGGTGTGGCATAGACGCTTGGGTCATATTAGTATGAGGAGAATTTCTCAGCTAAATAAACTTGAGTTAGTTAGAGGTCTGCCTAAGCTGAAGTTTACTTCAGATGCTTTTTGTGAAGCATGTCCGAAAGGCAAGTTTTCTAAAACATCTTTTAAATATAAAAATGTTGTTTCCACCTCTAGACCTTTAGAGCTTCTACAC